CTAATCTGTCATCGTTTTTACCTTCCTTTTCTTTTTCAGTGCAGAAGTTAAAAGTAAGTATAAAGCAAAACATATATATATATATATATATATTAGCTCAACAGAGCAATAGTTAAAATAATGTTTCTGGGCTGATTGGTTAGCTCAGTTGGTTAGAGTACCAAGGTCAAGTGTTCAGATCTCCATAACAGCCAGCTGAGAAAAAAAAAGAGAGATAAATAAAATAATATTTCTTTGGCTCTCTTTGGTATAAGGTCAGGTACAAATTACTGAGCCTGCTCTGTTTTCCTCCACTTAGACCATAAATACAACTTCTTTAGCACAATTTTTAGCATAATTTAATTACTCATTTATCTTTCTCTGTCTTTCCAGTAAAACAGTTTAATCTCATATATGTGGGTAGTAAATGTGTTTATTTATTTTAATCTATTTAATCATCCCATTAAGAGAGACCAGCCTGTGGCTCACTCAGGAGAGTGCGGTGCTTATAACACCAAGGCCACGGGTTCACATCCCTATATAGGAATGACCAGTTAGCTCACTTGGGAGAGTGTGGTGCTGACAACACTAAGTCAAGGGTTAAGTTAAGGGGTTACCAGCTATCTTTTAAAAAATAAAAAATAGTAATCATCATCCCATTAAGTAATTTTTGCAACTCATTTTTTAAATTGGACAGTTTTTCTCTGTTTTGGTATAAATTATCATTTTCAGAGAAGAAAATTTGCCTGTGAACCCATCTGGCCAGATTAACCCAGTATTCTCATCTCCCTTCTTCCCTTCCTCCTTGACCAGGTCATCAAATAGCGATCAGTTAGTCATCACAGTGGGTACAAGAAGGCTTTTACTTCTTTACACCTAAGTTTTTGTAGCTATAAGTACAGATCATACCATCTGAGGTTTGGGGGTTACCTATAAGTCTCACTGCCTCTGCTTACCCCATCTTCCTAATTAACAATGGTTGGCTATAGGCCTGCTTCATATTTAAGCTGCCCTAATTTCAGGTTATAAAGCATTGCTAGAACACTCTCAGACTTCTTAGACAGTAGACTATCTAAAGTTGCTTTAACAGGTACCTGTGAGACTGTTATAAAGACGCATGTCTTAAAAGTTAAGGCACAAATGCTATTCTCATATGACCCCTTGAGTGCTTTGTCTAAACTGCTCCTATGTGGTTGGTTGGCTTTACTGGGTTCTGAGGCAGTGTGGCTTTTGGGAGAGAACTCTAGAACACTGGTGAAAAAGATTGTGTATTCTTATATTTCTCCCACATTTATTTTTCATTATTTACATCTTCTTTCTTCAGTATGCAATGAATGATATGCATGTGGTGTTTAACTAAACACATGAAGACTAGACTATTTTTTTCCAGCATAGTCAGCTTTTGTCATTATTGGCAAAATGTTAGATTGTTTCAGAAATAATCTTTTCAAAATGGTCTCTCCTTCTGTTCACATTTATTAATAGAGGGAAAGGATTTAGTATTTAAAAAACACATCATAGCACTTAAAAAATGAACTTTTTAATTTTTTTTACAGACTAGCAACCTAGAATCTTTCTTCTGTTTTTATTGTTTTTGAACATACCTTCTGACAATTGGTTACCTGCATTAACTATAACTGCAGATGTTTCCCACAAATCAAGAACTTAAACATTTTAAAATTTCAAAGCAATTAACATTATCTACTTCATTGATATCTATAAATATTTATTCTTAGACAATTGGTTACCTGCATTAACTATAACTGCAGATGTTTCCCACAAATCAAGAACTTAAACGTTTTAAAATTTCAAAGCAATTAACATTATCTACTTCATTGATATCTATAAATATTTATTCTTAAAAGTTCTCAAATACTTTATCCCTCAGTCATTCATACTATGTTGCATTGATATTTATCACAGGGGTTGCAATGTTCTAAAATATTTATATTCTTATTTTCATATTAAACAGATCTTAATACATAGACTACCGTCATTTGTAATGCCTATTTCATATCTAATTATTTCAACCTAACCATTAAGAGCCTTGGATATATTTCAAGCAGCACAATTAAACTACATAGTACCCACTGCTTAAATAGTCTGTGTACTTATATATGAAAAACAAGAAAGCCAGAAGGCTTTGTTTTTACAAAAAGAAAAAAATCCCTAAGCACTTTCCTGGTGGTGAAATGCTTAATAATGTGCTGCTCTATTTCCCTCACTCCTAGTAAGTTCTGTAATAATAAGCAGAAGCTCTTCAGAGTGTACACCTCACGGAAGCAGAGGTACCCAGCATCCCAGCTATTAACATGAGATTTGAGAATGCCGACTAACCTCAGGTGCATGACCAAGTTACACCGCCACCCCACCTGAGCCCTGTTCAGAGACTCACTCTTCCTAGGGACTTCTTGAATGAGGTTTTCAACCCGCTTGTCATTTTTCTTGTTGCCTGTTGCCTGCTTTGATACTCCGCACCACTGGGACAAATAGGCAGGGTCTCGCATAGTGCTAGCAGTCAGCCCCTTGGCGCCCCCTTGTGGTTGGATCACTGCTGAGCTGATGCACGCACTGGATTGTCATGGCTCACTTGCCATATTGTGCCTGAGGCGAGAATTTGTAGAATGCTTATCTTATGAAGGGCTCAAACCTTAATTAAGTATAACAATAACTACAGCATTCTAAATCCTAGAGGATTACCGTGGGGTTATGAGGATGCCACACAGTTCCCTGGCAGGGAACATCCAGTAGCAGACTGCATGCTAGGCCACCAGGGTCCTAGAGAGAAAAGAATTCCCTTACAGAAGGTTGTGCAGGCCTCCCTTCTGCCCACCAGCAGGGTCCTCAGCTGGGACTTTGGGGCTGCATACTAAGAAAGATGCTCCAATCAGTGACCACAGTGACCTTTTGGTTACTTTCTCCAAAGAGAGAACTCCTTGTTGGTCTCCTAGGGATAATCTTTGGCATTCTTCCTAAGAACACTGTTACATAAACCTTTCTCAAAAGTCATGTTCATAGATGTCACAAAAAAAATCAGGAAAATAACGAAAATTTTAATGTACCAATGAAGAGTCTATATTTTCAATCAATGTGCGTTTTCAATAACAACCACCTAATCAGTTTAATCAAGATGCTCTATTGATTTCCAAAGGGGAAACAAAGTAGAAAAACTACTAAAAGTGAGCTTTTTGTAGGAGGACACAGGAACAGATCTTTGCCTGGAAAAAGAAAATTTGCCTGGTTAAAATGTTCTGGATTAGGATCTTATTCTTAACTTTATACTATTAGGTCAAAAGAAAGTGAAAATACTAGATTTTTTTTTTCTAATTTAGTGTGTAATATGCTGAGATTGTTTTTAAATAATTCTTAAGGGCCCAAAGAAAGATTACATTGCATAATGTTGAATATGCTAATTATCCTGATTTGAGCACCGCGTATTGCACACAGATATTGATATTCAGCTCTGTACTCCACAGATATGTGCAATCAACTATGTTACAATAAAAGAAATAAACTTAAATAAATTATATATAGTATTAAACATTAGCAAACATTCATGTAGTTTAGAAGGACAAAAGGGAAATGGTGCTCAGAATACATTTATATCAACTTTAAGTGCTGCAAATGGTACTGAGATTCAGAGAATGTTATTCTCACTTTTCATTCATATAAGTAGTGTCAAAATGTTTCATGGGTCAGTTATTAAAAATATTTCCATAGGAGAAATTTTGAAAATATTTTGTTATTGTAAATAAACCATGATGGATTTGATGCTGACACTTTAATTTCAGATATTTTTTACTTTTTTAGTAATTGAAATTTTTGATAAAGAAAATAACAAAGGTCATATTTAATGGTTTTATGGTGTTTTATCAGTTTCTTGTTCATTTAGTTGGCATAGGAAAGAGACATACCTTGAAAGTTTGAGAAAATAATCTGATGTTAACTAAACCCAGCCTTTTATAGTAATTCTCATCTGTTAAGTTCCAGAAAAGGTAATAGATAAAATCGAGTATAGTGAGGACACTTCTAATGATAACTATGTCAACTTGAGCCATTCATTAATCTTAATAAAGGTGTAAAAGTAAGCATATGCTTTCTGAACCAGATCATCATGAATTTAAATTATGGGACAGGTGTGTTGAAAACAAAAAGAGATTTGACATGTTTACAATTTTTAAAAAAAAACCTTATAAACAGTAGACATTTTATGAATTTAAATTATGGGACAGGTGTGTTGAAAACAAAAAGAGATTTGACATGTTTACAATTAAAAAAAAAAAAACCTTATAAACAGTAGACATTTGGGGCACTGTCCCTTTGACACGTTTGTTTAAATAATTGAAGGCTTTTGGATGACATGGAGAACCTAGCCTGAGAATAAAAAGATGCAGTTTTATGGTGTTATCGTTGCTCTTGTTTAATGTAATCTATCATTCAACCACACACTTGTCTAATACGGATAAATCGTTTGACTGTTGGGACTGTTGTAAAGAACTCTTGAACCCACCTGACCTCATCACAAAACTGCCCAGCCTGTTCTTTGCATGTGCCTTCAGCTGGTCATGCCAGACTTAGCTGTGTCTGCATTTCAGAAAGGAGCTGTCAGTTGCATGGTCAACTCGTTTATTGTTACCAAAACTCTCTGACCACCATAGCTCATGATTTGATTTGTATTCATGTAAACACACATAAAATGTGGTGCCTTTTTAGAATATCATTTGTTAAGCAACTAGGCATGGAAAAATAAATGTTACTGTTTCTTGTTAGCTACAAAACACATATCCACTAAACACATTTGCTGTTGGCATGCTGCAGTTGGGGACAGTGGACATTGCGGTAAGTGAAAAAGACAAGGCCTTCCCTTCGTCTCAGATAATCCTTATCCATGAGAACACTGCCTTCATATTCCACAAAGGCTGCAGCATGACTCAGAGTAGCTGCACCAGTGACTCCCCTGCAGACCCATTGCTCCATCATTTTTTCAGGCCCTGCAGAGTCCTGAGCCTCTCACAGTGATAACAGTGTCACCTTCTAATGAATAGTACAAGTGCTTTATAAATGAAACAAGAAAACAAACAAAACAGGTACACAAAGCTTCTTACAGTTCATCTGATTCCCCCCAAATTCCCTTAGGTCTATTGCTACTTTTATCTCCATGTCAGAGATGTGGACCTCAAAACCCATCTCTCTCTGATTCCAACCTGCCCTTCCCAGAACATCACACCACATCTCTTACTTAAGAAAGTGTGGAGATGCCTTTAGATTTTGTTGTTTTTAATGCTTCCTTTATCGGCCCACAACAATTCAATCTTAGCCAGCATCAGAGAACTGAATGTCTGAACTATAATTTACCAGTAGCTGCCACAGCAAATCGATAACCTGTTTACATAGCAGGAAATTGTGTTATTGAACATAACATCTCATTCTGTTAATCAGTCATCACATTCATTATATGTTGAGGTTGTTCCACCTTGTGTAGTTTTTGCCTCACAAGAATGAATGTAAGCATAAAAGAAGTGTAACGCTAAGTGTTGGATGTTTAATATTATGGATGCAGTGCTACCAACTGCTGTGAGATTGCATGAATTTATGGATATCGCAATCTTGCCTGGAATATAAAATGCATGCTGAATGCAGGTATCTATGTAACTGTCATCCCTGTTTTCTGTAAAATGTTGAGAAGTTACAAATAGATATGCTCCCAAATAAAAAATAACTTTTTTTTTAATCTCAAAAGTTGAGGTTAAAGCTAAAATCACCGAACTGTTTTTAAAGTGAATTCCAAACCAGTTCTTGGTTATCTCCAGTATAGTTGAGGACAAACTGCTGTACTTGGTCTCAGTTCTTTCTGTGATGAATCCAGTAAGTGTGTGTACCTGTAGAAAGAGATTGCTCTCAAAGGAATGAAAACATAGAGATTAAAAAAATTCAAAATTTCAATAAGGAAAAAGTACTTTGCTATGCTCCTACTTGCTTAAAACATTTTGTCTATTGAAATATATGTTTCATCAAATTATTCACCCATGTAGAAAGGGAGAAAATGCTTGAAATGGAATAACCATACCTCTGTTCTCCACAGTCAGAAGCTAAGTTTTAAGGAGCGAGTGCGTATGGCTAGCCCAAGGGGCCAGAGTATTAAGAGCAGACAAGCCTCAGTAGGTGACAGGAGGTCCCCGAGCACCGACATCACAGCCGAGGGCAGCCCCACTAAAGTGCAGAAGAGCTGGAGCTTCAACGACCGAACCCGTTTCCGGCCCTCACTGCGCCTCAAAAGTTCTCAGCCAAAACCAGTGATAGACGGTAAGCCCTGTTTTTCTGTAATCATTTTTAATTTGACAGGCTATAGTGAGTGAGATTATGAAGTAATTCATTCTCCATGGTACCCCTTGAAGATAGAAGGAAACAACCCCAGGGAAAGAATCGTTTGTGTTATTGAAAATTTATTCATTGCCATGGGCAAATGCACAAAACCTAAGTTTACTTTTGGAAGTAACTTTGGCAGCTAAATCTACAGTTCAAAGAAGTCAAGTAAGATTTTGTTCATTCTTCACTCGTATCTACAACATATTTATTTCTCAGACAAGGTGCATATCAAGATCAACGTGACGGTCGGTCTGATGTATACAAGCACAGCAGGTGCTCTGTGAATACCTGCAACACAGTAAGAAGGGTGACCGTAGCTTTCTGGCCTTAGAGTCCTGTTGAAAGTTCTTTCAAGGTCTCCCAATGAGAAGTGAAATTCAAGTTCTTCTCCCAAGAGGAATTAACCAATTTTATTTATAATGTTATGTAGCAGATGTTTACTTGCCAACACATTTTATGGAGTGCCACATAATTTTCATGTTTATAAAATAACATATTTTATTTTTCATTTGAGATTAGCTTAGCTTTCCTTTCAAATATGCCCCCTGGGATCTCTTATACTGGGCAAAGAACCAAAATCAAATAGCATCTTCCATTAATGCGTAAAAACTGCAAAGGCTATCAGTCCTTCTATTCTGTCCCTAGAATAACCTGTAATTTCCCAGGCCCTGAAAGCCCAAGGGATAAAATTAACAACCGGGGGTCATAATCACAGGGATCTCAAGCGCCCTGCAGTTAAAGCCCTGGAAGCTCAGCCCACGAGTTGCTCCCAACATACTGAGACATCCTCAGGGATATCCCTTCCACACTCCATGAGTGACACTACTCCCCTCTTCGCAATTCTTCATTCTCGACAAGCCCAGGGCTGCTGTGCTGTCCAAGTAGACAGACCCCTCCTGGCAAAGCTTGCAGGTCCCATCTAAGTTGCAGGATATGCCAGTCCCACCACACTCCCCTCCACCTGTCTCTGTGCTGGGGTAGAAAATGCTTCCTCCATCAACAGTGGAAATGCCTCCATCAAACCACTTGCAGCATCCTGAGTCACTTGTGGCACAGGTTTCCAGTGTCCTCTAGTTTCCACATTCTCCTCCCTAGGCATTTGGCTGAAAGCCCTTGAGCAGCTGATTCAAGAGTTACCAGTGACAGAGCTTTATGTGCACTCAAAATAGGCTCACTGAGTAGTAATGAGTACATCCTTTCTGGAGGGCGATTTGGCAAAATATATCAAATGCCTCTATATATGCCTAAGCCTAGACACATTCCACCCACCAATTCCATTTCTAGGATATAGTCAATATAACAAAACAATATCAGACATTAGAAATGATGCTATAAATTAGAAAATTATTGACATGGAAAGATGACCACAAAAATAAATTATTCCATTTTTGCTTGTACATATTTATATACATGTATTATGTATATAAATTTGTGTTTATAGGGAAAGGTCTGGAAAGATTTACAGCAATGTATGAACAGTTACCTCAAGTGGTGAGATCACAGTTACATTTTATTTCTTCATTTTCTTCATCCGTATTTCTTAATATTTTTACAATGAACATGCAAAGCTTTTGTAATAAGAAAACAAAAGAGAATTTTCTATTAAAAAATTAGCCCTTCCTTTCACACATCGCCCTCTTTTCTTCATCCGTATTTCTTAATATTTTTACAATGAACATGCAAAGCTTTTGTAATAAGAAAGCAAAAGAGAATTTTCTATTAAAAAATTAGCCCTTCCTTTCACACATCGCCCTCTCCCCTCCCCTCCTCTAAGGGCCCTTGAACTAACTGGAACTCACCAAACTTCTTTCCTCAGGCTGATTTCTCCCAAGGGGTGGATGGAGCCCGTGGTCTTAGTGGTGGGGACAGCCTTCACTGAGCGTGGGCATTGTCTATCTAAAGAGGTTTAGGGCTGGCCCAGCGGCACACTGGAGAGTGTGCCGCTTGGGAGCACGGCGGCGCTCCCGCTGAGGGTTTGGATCCCATGTGGAGACCGGTTCCCGCTCACTGGCTGAGCACGGTGCGGGCGAAACACCGAGGGTTGCAATCCCGTTACCGGTCAGTAAAAAAGACAAAAAAAGGAAAAAAAATAAAATAAAGAGGTTTAATAGCCTCTACTACAGAGCTTGGATTACTTGGCTCGGGCTGCCATAGCAAAGTATTGGGTGGCTTACACAACAGAAATTTATTTTCTCACGGTCTGGAGGGTGATCAAGATCAAGGTAAAGGCAAGGTTGGGTCCTTCCGAGGGCTCTCTTCTTGGCTTGTAGATGACTGCCTTCTCCTTGTGTCTTCACACAGTCTTTCTTCTGTACCTGTCTGTGTCCAAATTTCCTCTTCTCATAAGGACACCAGTTTCATTGGATTAGGGTCCAGCCTAATAACCTCATTTTAACTTCATTACCTCTTGAAAGACCCTATCTCAAAATACAATCACATTCACAGGACCTAGGGGTTAGGACTTCAATACATGAATTTTGGAGCAATACAAGTCAGCCTATAACAGAGTCCTGCTCACCCACATCACAGCATCCCTGGCAAGCTGAGGTGTGTCCATATCTTCAGTACTGGCCATGGGTTCACAGTGGACTAGAAACACACACATTACACATTACAATGGGTCCATATTCTTCTAACGTGGGCTTCAAAAAGCATTTAACTTAATGCTATAAGGTGCTTAGAGTTGCACAAGTAAATATAAAAGAATATGGAAAACAAATTCTACTTGTACCATTTGGCCAGAGGGAAAGAGTTTTTCAAAGACTTGCTGTAGTCAGCACTAGTATTTTCAGTACCTGCAGAGATGTCTCAGAGGTCAGACAGATAGAAACTGAAGCCCTATTTTCTACCAAATCACAAATTGGAAAGGTCTCCTGTCATCCATTTTCTAAATCATTTCATACAAGTACAGTCCCTGGTTGGTGCCCGTATCAACTGATTCTGAGTTCTCCAAGTGACGAGGAGACTGATTGCTGTACTGTCAAGGTAGCTCTGGTGGCTGCCCACCTGCAGAAGATGGTGGCTCCTGACTCCTCACTTAATCCAATGTCCAGAATCTTTACCTCTGACTTAACTCTTCGTTGGGTCTTGGCAAAATGAAAATTCTTTTTACAGGGAAAAAAATACTGAAGTAGCTATCAAATAAATGTAGACTTTAATTATACACGTTTATTTATAGTGCCTCTCCACATTTTAAGTATTCCTAAAATCCAATTACTACCCATGCAAAATACTATATGACACTAGAGCCAACTCCCCATTATTCCAGGCGTGTTTGCAAGTTACATTTGGAGAATAATGGGCCTGTAACTGAAAGATACTTTAATAGAAAAACAAAAGAAATTTAGGGTTAATCTGTAAATTTTAATAATTCCTGCCAAATGTGATACCCATTACTACAAATGGTAGTCTTTTTATAATTTAACGACTCTTACAAAAGGTTATTAAATACCCATCTTTTTCTTTACTAGAATTTTTAATGAGATTAACATGTTACACTCAAAAAGAGCCCAGTCGTCTCCTAATAGTCCACACTCATGTGTACCAGAGAAGTGGAAAATAGCAGGCAGATGCTGAAGCCAGAAATGTACAAATGGCAAAGGGAAGAAAGTAAACTCTAAGGGACCCGGGTGGTGTTGCCATAGCAAATTTATTTGGGCCAATATGATATGAATAGTATTTTTAGTTCATAATTTTATAAAAGATAGAAATGCTCCATTAGCCAGTCAATAGTATCTAAGCCTCTTTATATAATTTTAGAAATTGGTAGCATAGAAATGATATTTCTATCACAAGTATATAAGAGTAATAATAATGATAAAACTAACATTTATTGAATCCTTCGCTGTGGTGTGCATTGTTCTAAATGCTTTACTTCTGTTATCTCATTTGATTCTCCCAATACCCCTATGAAGTAGTTACATTATTATCCCAATTTATGGATGAGGAAATTGAGACTTGATGATAAGTATCTTGCCCAAGGTCTACCAGGTATAAGTAAAGGAGCCATAATACACACCCAGACAGCCTAATCGCACAGTCCTCCTGTAGACATAGCCTAAGGTGTGCTCACAGATGTCATCGATTTCCCTTAAAGCATCTTTCATTTCTTCTCCCCCTCCTACCCGCCCCCGGCTTTCACTCTTCCGTCTTCCATCAGTTAGATTCCCCTTCCCATACAAACCGTTTGACCTTACCACTATCCCATCCCATCTTTCTCCCAGCGCCAGCTGCCAAACCTCTCCTCTACATCATCTTCAAAGGCTGCCATAGCTAGAAGATTAGGCAAATTGGGGAAACGGCCTTTCGATGACCCTTATCTGTTTTGATCAGGTATCCAGGAAGAGACTCAGGATAACAGTCGTGCTGGTCTGTGTCTATCTACCCAGGAAGGGAGGCAAATGGTGGGGTCACCTGAGGCCTGTTTCAGGATGCAAAGGTATTGTCAGGAGATGGACAAGTGTCAACAACAGACGAGCAAGTGGAAGGTGGCAGATTGCAAGTAAGAAAAATAGAAAGCAGCCAAAATCCACAAGAATGATACTAGGGTAGAGCTTGGGGAATGTCTTCAGGTTTCTGGTGACTAGTTTGCTGTCAAGGAGGGCTACACTTGCTGGACCCTGCTGCACTTGGGAATGGCTTTTAGAATCGCACTGAAAGAGTGCAATAACCTTAACAGAGAAGGACAAGGTGGTAAGTTGAGGTAGCCCTACCCTGTAGTGCTAAATATTAACTAAACCCAACATTCTATACTAATTGGCTTCTGTTAGTTCCAGAAATGCCAACAGATTTAAAAATCTGTCTCACTTACTTGTATAACCATGCCTGTTTTAACATGTTTAACATTGTTTCCTGCTGCTGCAGTGTAAGGTACTTTCTCACCACATGTTTATGGGAAAGACTGGCACAGCCTGGGTTCAGGACATGTGTGGGGCTTACCTGGGAGGAGTCTGAGTGAACTGAAGATGCTGAGCACCTTCCAATCATAGGGGCCCCTGAAGCCAGTCCCCTTGTTCCAGGCACTGTGGCTGTCTCTTCTCTCTTCACTTCTCTTCATGTTCCTTTCACCCCTCAGCCAGGGTACCAGTTAGGGTGCATTTGGCTGCAGGACACAAAAGAACCAGATTCAAATACCTTAAATTATAATGCAATTTATAATACCAGGTAAAACAAAGTTCAGAGATAAGACAGCTCCCAGCAAGGAGTATCTGGCTTCATTTCTCTGTGATTCTCTTGACTCTTTTTTTGACTCTGCCACTTCCTCAGGCTAGGGGCAAGAGGGCCTCAGCAGTAGCAAGCATCTTATCCAGATGCAACACTTCCAAAGGCAGAAAGGAGGCCATCTTATGTTCGTATCTCTTCTTAAAAGTGAGGAAAACTGTCCATTCACATCTTATTTTGCAGAATTCTCATGCCTGAGAATGACATAGATTACATCCCACAAGTTTCTGTATTAGTAGCTTAATCCCTACTGTAACTGTTGAGAATGGAAAATCCTATTATGGTAATTGAAAGGTGGGGCCTTGAAGAGATAATTAGATCATAGGACTGCAGTAGTGAATGGATTAATAACAGTAGACAGGGGCATGGCTCTGAGGGCTTTAAAAGGAGAGCACATGGGGAACTATCTCTGCTCCACCATTTTCTGCCTTGTGAGACCCCTGGGTCATTGTCACCACCACCAAGTCCTTCACCAAATGTTTCCCTGGACTTTGGACTTCCCAGCCTCTGAAATTGTAAGCAATACATTTTGTTTTCTTTATAATTTTTTTTTTTAAAAGGGTTTTCATGGTTGAAACAATCACTAGCATGGAGAATGGGGCCACTGTTATTGCAGTCATCAGTCAGGATCCAGCTTCTAGATCTAAAACATGATCAATGTTGGGTAAATTTGAGGATTATGGTTTAGGAATTGGATACTGGGAAAGCAACCACTAACAGTATCTGAGATAGCCAAGAAATCTTTTCTACTCTCAGGTGAGGGTAAGGAGGAAGCATGGTCTTAAACATGACATTTTCTCCCAAATACTCTGTCTATAGGTCATTTCTGTTCCTCTAAATGTCCAGGCTTTTTAAACATAAAAGCAGAATTAGAATTTTTTTCTCTAAAGCTGTTGCTGCTATTGATGCATAACATATTGCTATTATTGTTCTTTTTATATAAATATATATATATATATATATATATATACGTATATATATAATTTAAACTTTTGGAAACTTTAGCTGTGCTGTCAACTTTGGAAAAAGTATACTAGTTTACTTTGTTGAGTTGGCATGGCACAGAAATTAACAGCCATATTGGTCTAGACACGCTAAACTTAATTTTTTTTCCATTTGTACAGGGGTAACCCACTGTATTAAATATGTAAGGTCTTATCTACATGGGTTTGATTACAGAAACTAATAAAGTA